ATCTCGAGGTGTTTCATGAAGATGGAAGCCTTCTTTTGGAAGTTCGGTCTCCTTCTCTATTGGATACTTGCTCTTTTTCAGAAGAAGATTCGAACCTATTACTTCTGTGTGTCCTTCGCTGAAATATTCAGCCTTTCTACTAAAATTAGCGAATTGAGAATCTAATTTGAGAAAGTAAACTGTGAAAATACGAGCATCCTTTTGACAACCACATCGAAAGTAACATTGCAAAACAGCATCTGTCAGTGAAGAGATCTGTTGCTGCGTGTTGCGTTCAAAGAGAAGTCAGTCGGATTCTAAGAGTCCGCACATTAGGAAACTAACAATGAAAACTAACAACAACATTGTCACTTCTCATAGTGCAAAAAGTTTGAAGTGAATGAGAATTATCGTGTGTGTTGAAACAGCGTGACCGTTGTCAACAACAATTAAAAAATTGATAATGGATATTGAAAACGATTTACATTCGCGACGTTTCAGGATCTTTAGTGTCCAAGCTATCCTCACTGGTGACTTCACCAGCGAATTTACCACCGAAACGCTGCAAACGAATCTGACCGTCATCCTTCGACGTCGATGACTCGTCGCTCGTTTTTCGAACATTATCTCCGGGGGCTGATGGTGACGATGGCTCTACGTGCTCTTGCGAAATGTTCACAAGTTTATTTTCATCCTCATGCTGTATGCTGTCTTTTTTTCGACTTTTCGGACGCTCGTCCAACCCGCCAATGAAACTGAAACTACGTTCATCCGAAGTGCTCCTACGATTCATAGAAGTAGCCATCTGAATGCCGCCCGTCTGTTCAGATTCAATACGGCCATCGTTAGATGCGTCACCAGCAGTGGTTATCATTCGATTCGAACGATTGCTCCCTTCCAAATCTGCACCAGCATCAGACGACTGATTGACGGGCACCTGACCGGTGGACTCGTTTGTTCGCCGGGGGGATGCAGCTTCAAGAATTGCGGTGGTCGTTTCCAACTCTTGATGGTTCTCACAAACACTTCGACCTTGTTCAAGTTGCGTTTCTGTGGATTTTGGGACGTCATGCACAAATGGCATGATGAAATTATCAGTGACTGGGACATAGTTTGTTGTGGGAGAAGTGGATTGATTACGAACATCATTGGCAGCATTCGAGACTGTGCATGTAGCG